TGCACTGTATGATATACTGCTATTTTGAATTCAACACTAACTGAATTTTGTGTACGTATATACTATATATATAGTACTGTATGATATACTGCTGATTTAAATTCAACCTTAACTGAATTTTGTGTACATATATACGCATCAAGAGTCGTATGCGTGCTATTTTCGAGTACATGTACATATTTGTCAAAGCTAGACTATCAAGCAAAATTCTGTATCCACATGATTTGTCAAATCCTCGGCAAGTCACTAACTATATGTATATAAATTTATATTTGTAAGTTTTCGTGAAGAAACAAGCAAAAATAAACAATACATACCCTGGTATGTCCTTGGCAACCGTTTCCGCCAAGTCCTTCATGGTCACACACTTTTGCCTATACTCCGCTCACTCTATTAACGTTCGAAATTCGCGCATCTATACGACAACTGCGAAAACCGATGATGTGGCCGTTCCGGACTGGATATCGCCAGTATTTTATACTCTCAATGATGAATTAAACGGTGGGCATCTATGTATATTGCCACCGTAGAAGAAAATACATCAAAGCAGAAGGATCGGTTGGATAGGAAAGATATCGTTTGTATCTAGTTGAAGGCCTTGTGAGAACACTATTGCATGCTACAACTTACAATTGCAGGATCTCAAAACTCGTTTGTGTTGAGAATATTCCCTATCTGGTACCTTGTGTAATATTAAAAATATACAAGCAAACCTTATTTTTTCCTTGGCCTCCTACTTCACTAATAAGCAGAGAAGCATACATATGATCTTTTACATGTGTAAAATATATGTAATTATCTATAATAAATATATAAAATATTAATATTTCACGAACAAAGATTGATACGTGATAAGAATTTTTATATGGCATATTACAGACATTCTACCAAATCAGGAACACACATTTACGCGGGAATTGATAGTTGCTTGGTAAAAAAGTATATATTCATTTACATCGGATACAATTTCAAATATTTACGAAAATGCACGGATTCAGAATAAATACAATGCTGGGGTCTGTAATAGAGTATTGGTAGCTATGATGTTATTCTTCGGAGATTAAATCTGTTCTTGTGAGATTGAATATGATCATACCGGGTAAATACATATTTCAGTACACCCGCCTATACCATCACGCACAACCTTCAATACATGTGATTTGACAAAAGTATCTGACCATGAAAAGAATTAATATGAATTCGCGGGCTCGTCTAGAATTGTGACTGAAGTTGCAAGCCATTGAATCTACCCATGTCTGCTGTATTAGGGAGATAACCACAGTATTCGCGGCCCAGGAGTTTTATAAAATTAAACGAAGTTTAGTAAACTTAAACAGTTCCACTTATTTCTTATTGTCTAAACCGTTTGGAACAAACTTGTATTTCGATTGTAGGAATACTCGAAACAAAAAAGTTTACTGTTTACAACCAGTCACAATTGAAAGCACAACAATAAATTGACGTTTTTGTAAAGCATGCTTTATCCTTGAAAGCCAGATGTAACATCACTGTGATCTGACATACAGTTGTGCATGGCCTTGAGCGAGGTTCATAAATATAGTCGGGCTAAATTCAACGTGACGCAACAAGTGCATTACTACTTAATAGTGTCAATAACGAGTGGAACGGAAATCGGATAAAAACGAAGCAAATAAGTAACATCGCTGGGTAGGTTGTTTTAGGAGACCTCTATTGAAATAGGTCATTTTAGTTTAATATCTTGCAGCCAGTATTCAAGAACTGAAGCATATATACTGAACGAATACTATTTTTTTTCTAAATAATACCGACATATTAGTATTTAAAAAAAAAGGAACATGTATGTGAATGGTTTTATGACGCTTTGTGGCCAAATTTGCCAAGCAACAGTCTTGTTGATTGGTGAGGAGCAGTTTGAAACCCAAATGCATTCTATCCATAGCCTCCCCGAGTCTTCTAAATTTAAAATTAGAATGTTCTAATTTAGGAGGAGGCTATGACGCTATGTATGTAATTAGGTCTGTATGTGACATTTTTTTTTGTGTGTATTAGATTTCCCTTGAGGCATAGCCTTCTAAAAAGTTAAAAACAAACATTGAGGCCCAGGGCCGAGGCTTCGAGCTTTACTGAAGCCTTTACCCAATGGATGACAAATTGATACAATTTATGACCCAATTCAAATTGATTTTAAATTTTCGGCCTACTTCCGGGCCCAATTTACGGAAGGAAATGTTACTATATATGTATATATATATATATATATATATATATCATATTAATTCATCTACTATATTTGGTGGGTTTTAATTTTTTTTCTATTCTTTTCCAAGCTTTTCTGAATGAAATTTGAAATTTGAAACCGATTTATACAATTATTCCCTGTTGGTGCTTGGTCACTAGGCATTGGCTCATTTTAACCCACGCACCAGCCAGTTGATAAAAACCTTATCGCCGGGATCTATTTATTTCGGTCCTCGGCAACATACGGTCTGAGTGTCATTCGCTCCCCACCTTCACGTTGTACTAATCAGTAATCGAATGTGTATAAGTATCAATAGTCACTAACATGCGTTTATAATAGCTTCGTCTGGAGTTTACGACAGCAATCGAGCCATATATATATATACAAACATATACAGATTGCTATACATCTTACCGAAATCATTCAAGTAGACAAAGGCACATACAAATATAAGTGAGGAAAGATTGTATCAGACTTCAAATCTCTTCATTCGCGTAATTTATCGTACTGTACTTTTAGAATTATTATAGTATAATCAGTACGCATATGTCAACAAATGCTTAGATCAGGATATACACTCCTTCATAGCTTTATGTTCAGTGTATACAGTTTTTTCATACCGACCTGTCTCAAGCATCTACCAGCGCAATAGCGTACTATAAATCACGTGCCATTAAACATACCACTGTATACCATATCATAAAAATCAAAGTATAGCACCTACAAAACCAAAACAATAGAAATCAAGGAAAGCTGAATCAAATAAGCAACACACACGACTTTCCTGAAATGGTGGTTCAGCGAGAAAGTAACGTCAGCAAGGCGGTTAAATGTCTATTGTTAGATGCATCTTACAAAAGCCCTGGCCGTGCAAGGGCCGGCTCACTGACACATGTATGTACTAGAACAAAGTCAGTATTATTTTTTAATCCGTATAACTCACTCTGGTCTTATCGTTATGATAGATACCGCAGTTCGTCTATATCAAATACGTGCGTACAAGCATATCCGAGAAGGCATATAAAAACCTAAATACTATATATATATATATAACTATATATATATATATATATATATATATATGTGTGTGTGTATGTGTGTATGTATGTGTGTGTGTGTGTATGTCTGGATGTATATCGTATATATATATATATATGTATATCATATATCAGTTATATATATATATATATATACTTGAGAATATATCTTTATTTATATATAATATATATATATATATATATGTATAACATATATTTATATATATATAAATATATATATATATACGTATGTATATATGTATATATATATCGTATACATATAGATATATATATATGTATATATATATATCATATATAAATATACATATATATATATACGTATTTAAACGTATATATATATCTGCGATTGTATAAGTTTGTGGTGTTTGTATGTGTGTATGAAATATAAGTATAAATAT